ACTATATTTTATCTATTTTTTAAATAATCTAACTTTTTCTTTATTTTTATTTATCATTCTTATCTGTGTTTTAAAGTATTTTTATTACTTAACTTTTAATTTTTCTTTTATTATTATTTTGGTTCATAGTTTAGTAATAAGGGTTTGGGGTTATTTAGAAATTTATTTGTTGCTATCACTACAAGCACATCTTTTGTTCATTTATTTCTTTTATTCTTTTATACATATCTGCTTTATCTATGATGCTCATTCTTTTTATTGCTGCACACTTTTCATTGAGTCATTGCCTACCTGTATCATTTCTAATTATTTTCTGTAATGTCCTATATTCTGTACCATACCTTAGCAATATTTGCTGCCTCCATTTTATTGTGTTGAAAATTTCACCTGATATTCACTCATTTATTCTTGCTTAATTTTTCTTGAAATGATCTCATTTGCTGATGTCACTAAAGCTTCTCTTAATGTGTTCCACTGTCAGTACACATCTCTTAACATCTTAATAAGATGGAAGGAAGGATGAGAATAACTAAAAGAAATGAATTTAAAAATGAGTTATAAATAGTTATTTCATATCCAACAGTGAAGTACACAAAATGTCATACTTAGATGCAGTAAATACACACACACACATATATATATATATATATATATATATATATATATATATATATATCATAAATATAAATATAAATTGTCCCATACAGAGGAATTAAAAACAAATAGTATGTGAAAGGAACAAATAAAAAGGTTTTATTTCTAAAATCCCATAGAGGAACATAGTATTTACCTGGTGATATGTCTTAGATTCCTATTTAAGACATATAGGAAATGCACCAACCTCCACTATCATTGATTGATTGATTTGATTTTTGATGGTTTCTCAACACTTTGTGGATTATTTAAACCTGAAACATATTTTGGAATTGTAAGAATTTTTTTTTTTTGTGAGTGAATATTGCATTAACAACTTTTTAGAATAACAATGACTTTTCCAGATATACATTCCACTATTTAATCAATAGCTGGGGTAAGTGGATTCATACCTTTTCCAAGGGTATATAAGTGAATGTAATGAACCTAACTAGAATTCAAACTCAACTCTGATTTCTCATTCTGAGCTCTTCCACAGTCAACTAAACTACGACAGGATATTGCATCTGTTTTTATTGTGAGCTAAGCAGCAAGTGCTATCCTCAACAATGGGCTGTCACATGATTTTGTAGAGGACTGTGGCGGTGATGAGTATGTATTGTAGAAGAACACACGAGTTAAAATTTCCTGCTAGTTGGTCCAACTACATGAGAAAGTTGGACTTTAATTAAGTTCAAAGGAGACAAAGAAAACAAACAGAGTCCACATTAATTGTATAGGTGAATTGATGAGCCCAATTTCAGCATCAACTTTAACCAGCAGAAATGCATGTTGACCACCTTGTAGATGTGGACAAATGATTGTTCGTCAGATGACCTGAAGAACAGTATACTGGAATATTTTGTTCCTAAAACATTAGAGAAGATTATGACAGGAAGCTGCAATTGTGAATTTAGAAAATGGATGGCTTTTACTGTACCCCAAGAAAGTACTCGGCCAACTCAAGAGGCTGATTCCATTAATGGCAGTGATACAAAACAACAAAAACAAAGTGCACCCAAAATGGATTTTAGAGAACTTAATAAGCATGTTGACCCATTTACAGCAGATGTCTGCTTACAGAAGTTAAGGGGGTGGTGACAGCAGGGAATCAATGTTCCTAAATTAGATTTAAGATTTACAGGTATACGTCTATAAGTCATTTTGTAGCCATTTCAGATAGTGATGTTAAGGGACCAAAGATACTACCTCACTTGCCTAGGATTTGCACTTAATGTGGCACCACTCATAATGAGATCCATCATGACTGCAATAATGTTGCAAGACGAGACTATTAACAGAGTGACAGCTGCATATATAGATGACATCTATATTAATGAAGATATAGCATTGTTAGCACATGTGAAGGGGCATTTTACAAGGTTTGGTCTAATGTGTAAAGATCCAGAGTGTTTAGAGAACAGTGCATGGGTGTTGGTTCTGCAGGTGGAAGATGGCAGTGCCATTCCAGAAATTCTTGATGTCATAACAAGATGGAATGTCTTTTCTGTGTGCAGAAAGCTTGTGGGATATTTTCCTGCATGTGGTTGGCTTTGTGTGGCCATGGTGGTCATCAAGCATACAGCGAATGCAGTTACATAGGATGGTATGACATAACTGATGATCCCCATGTTGAAAGATACCATCATCAAGGTACCTGGTGCATGATTGCTCATTAGATCGATGTCTGAATTGATGCAAGCTTCCTAGCCACTGGGGTCTTATTGGAAATCAATGGATCTGTTATTAAGGATGCATGCTAGTTGTGTCCAGCAATGATGCTCAGCACATCAACCTAGCTTGGTTGGATGCAGTTCTAAAGGGCATTAATCTGGCTCTTCAATGGCAAATGACCATAGTGAACCTGGCAATTGATTCTGCATGCATGCATTGACAGATTTCTGGTGCTCTAACTGGAAAGGCCAGGCTCTACACTAAAGCCGCAAGAGATATACGATGACAATTCAACACATTCATAGAGTTGGTTAAGGAGTACAGACTGCCTGTAAGTGTCTGGTTGGTCAAGTCTGACCACAATTAAATGGACAAACATACTAGAGTCCCAGATGCCATCAAGAAGCACAATGAATCACTGAAGCATTTGTGTGATGCCTCATTAGAAGCATTAATTCCTAGGCAGATAATTACCATCCACCACCAGACTGGTCATCCTGGTGTGAGGCGGACATGGCACTTTGTACACTGTGTCAAAAAATTCTGTTAGGACCATGGTTGAAAAATACAAAGCATGCATCTATACACCTTTCCTCTGTACACTGGCAACGTGGTTGGTTAAATGTGAGTGACACCTGGAGCAGATTATGTATGGATATCACCTATTACAGAGGCAAACATTTCCTTGCTCTTAATGACTTTGGTCTGACCTGATTTGCAGTCTGGTGACCACTGCTTTGACAAGACTCCATTCACCAATTGGACGTGATATTTTTTGAGCGGGATCTGCCAGGGGAGATTCTCACAGACAATGACATCACTTTCTGTAGTAGGCAAATCAAGCAGTTTTTTAGATGAGTGGGGAGTTCACCTTTGGTTGCGAAATGGGAATGGCATAGCAAATAGTTTTCCATGGGAATGTGAAAAGGATTGCAGCCAGAAAGGAATGTACTGTGATGGAAGCAATGTACTGTTACAATATGATGCTAAAGGATGATGTTTCAAGTGCAACTGCACCAGGCATTGCTATCTACACATACCAGGCCCGAAAGGAGATGGCACCACAACCACATCCATTCATGAAAAGGTAGAAGGTACACTGACCATACAATGTTGAAGATCCCATCTGGGTGAAGCCTCCCACTAGCCGATGTACTACCAATTTCAGAAAGGGACAGTCATGGGTGTAATCAGTAAGCACTCAGTACTAGTCAATGGAACCTTGCACCATATAAAAAATCTCTGTCTTGCATTCGGGGTAACTTTGTTGATGAACAGCAACATCAGTGATGAGTCTTCTGGCAGTGAGATGCTGCACCAGTGCAAGCCATGCTCACCCATGATCCCCCTGATGGCCTAACCACTAGCCCTAGAATGTCAGATGACTCATCTGAAGAGACTTGTACCATCTCTCCATGGAGAATCATACACCAAAGGAGGCCAGGAGTAAGGCAGTCTTCTATGGAAGAGTTTGAAGACTGTCTCCCTACAATGAAGTACACAGAAAAAAAGTCCAGCCCCCAGCTGCCATCTTTGTCATCAAGAGGTCAGTGGAGAGTGTGCAGAAGAAATCCACTTATCTTCAAAAAGGCTGAAAGCCTGCACCTGCCAATGCCATTGGCTTCATGCTACAAATAAAAGCTGAGGTAGACTTGTTTCGTTGTTTATAAAAGAAAACGTGAGCACCTCGACGTGGTGTAATGGTTAGGAAGCTTGTCTTGCTAGATCAATTACGACTGAGTAGTGAGTTCGATCCTCACTGGGTACCCCATACTTTCAGCCTTGTGCCACATCTAAGCTGGTCTTAGAAAATCGTTATAAAAGAAAACGTTTGATGGAATAGCCTGGATGTGCTACCTACAGGGTTGATGAAATAACCTGGATTTGCTAGTTACTGAATACATATAAAGTCAGTGGTAGTGAACAACAAGAGACAACCAAAGAAGATGGACAAGTGAATTTGCAGCTATTTTGGATGGTTTTGAATTTGGGACATTTTACTACAAAGGATTTTCTTTTTCTCATATTCTTTCACATTCAGTGGCTTTATTGCCTAGCTTGAGGTGAAATGATTAATATATATATATATATATATATATATATATATATATATATATATATATATATATATATATATATATCAATAATAATTGAGTATATGCATCTATAGTGCTCATATTCCAATTAAATATATATTATTTACCTAAATATGTGTATGTTTATCAATAATTCAGTATCTGTGAATAAAAATATGCAAATAAATATTTGATGTATACATCTTGGAACATACACACATCCCTAAGTAATATACAAGGATTAGAGATAAATGTGTGCATTATTTATACAAACACTAGTAAAGATATTGTAACTGTTTCTAAAATTAAAAATAAATACATTTGTAAATAACTGGATAAGTATTGTACATACAATTTATATATGCACGTAGAACTGTGAGTAGAAAAATAAATATTTTGGCACAATAACTTAATGTGGTTAGAAGGTTTGAATTGGGTGGGTTTTGGGTGAGGTTGACTGCATGAACTTCCTGTTGTAGCTTGCTTCACAGTTATGTCCCTTGTATTGCTTACAAGAACCTTGGGTTCAAGAGTAATGCCTCCCTGTCTCAACCAATCAGAAAACGCGTTGCGTACTCTCGAACGTTGCGTTCGTTATGTTTGTGTGGGAATACAACAATGGCGGAAGAACAGGTGAGTTTTCACTTTTCCATCATGTCTTTATGTTTATTTACATTCTTTAGTCGCATCTCTATTGACCTAATGTAGATCCCGTCCCGATACAGATAGCTGTGCATCCATTCTTCTCCGCTTGTAACTTTCCGGCCTCTCGACTAGCATGTGTCCGTTCGTTCCCTCTCGTTGTGTGTTTTCATTTTTATTCCCTTCTCCCCCCCTTTTTTTCTCTTAAGTTTCCAATTAATTACATCAGATCAACAGACAGAATAAGGGAGACATATTTGTATAATTTTCGCGGTTAAGTTAGATTATATGCTGAATTGTGTAAACACTGAATTTTGCTGATGGCTGAGCACGGATAATGCAGTTCGTCTTGCTTTCACTTGTCTGCTTTAGGTTCGAAACCCTGAACCATGTTATGTTCATAACACACACAAAAAAAAAACTGTGCAGGTCCGTTTGTGTCCGTCTGCCTCTTATAAACCGCACCCCCTATTATATATGATAACTTCACCCCTTGCATTTCCCGCCCCGATTCTTAAAATAAATAAATAAATATTTTTTGTAGTTCTTCTATAAAAATCTTTTTAGGCTCGAAAACAAAAATGTGTATTTTGATTACGGCCTTTTTTTATCTGTCAGCATGCTTTTTTTTTTTTTTCTTAGCATGAAGAATAAGCAAAATAAAAATACATGCTTTTTTTTTTTTTTTTTTTTTTACCATTTCAACTTAATATATGATTGTGTTTATAAATTTTGTGTTTTTTTTTATTTTGTTTTTTGTACTTTGCTGGTTTAAGAATGAACTAAAGAAAAAAAAAATTAAATAATATTGAAAAAAATAGGAAAATTTGCTTATTTCCCAAATCTAAAATAAACTTACGGACTAGACGGTAAGTCTCAATAACTTTACAAACAAAAAAATATTTTCCCACCTTAAATGGTACAAAATAAAAAAAATTGCTTTCATTTGAAAGTGAAATTTTTTAACACTAAATATTTTTTTTTATAAACAAACAAAATTAAAGGAAAAGCATTTTTTAATTTTAAAAATTACCTTTTAATTAAAAAAACTCACACCTCACTAAAAATGTGATGCCATCATCAAGTTTTGATAGTTTATCGTTTTTAAATGTTTATTTTTGAATAGTTTATAATTTATTTTACTTTATCTAAATCACCTTAACAGATAAATTAGAGACAAGTAACAATGGTATAAACTTAAAAAAGTGAAACTATTTTGATCTGTCCTGGCGACATTTAACAATTCTAAGTAAGACCATTTTTGATGTTAACAAAAAGTTTTTATTATTATTTTGCATTTGTTTATGGATGCATTTCTGTGTTCAGAATATGAAAAAGTGCAGAAATTGTGAAACTGATTCTCCTCAATATTCTTATTTGTTTTCACTATTCGGGGTAAAAAAATTAACCCCAAAAAACTACAATCCATTTTTAATTGGTCCAAAGTGACGCATGTGTTCAGTCCAGCAGTTTCCCTCATTCCACGTTCAAGCAAATCACAAGATTTTTTCTTTCTTTCTATTTTAACGGCTTTCTTCTCTCTCATTATTTTTTTTTTTTTTTTTTTTGGTTTAATATGAAAATTATTTAGCTATTTTATGACACATTTATTTTATTGTGTAATTGCTATTAATACTTCAAAAATATTTTAAAAGAAGAAACATTTTTTAAGCTGCTATTTATTCAAGCTAAAAATACCACCATGCTTTCCCTCGACAGTCAACACTCAGTTTTGAACTTTTTTTTTTTTTTACTGCTCTTCTTAAACTGATTTAAAAAAAAGAAGAAAAAAAGCTTGTCAATCTACATTCTAATTTTAACTCTAGACAAATTGGAAAAAAATATGGAAGTTACAAAAGTCAAACTACCTGCACCCCTTCCCAAAAGACTTAAGAAATTGAGTCTTGATGCCACAGTCGGGATTTGGGGGGTTTTGTTGACTAGACATTTTTAAATTAATTAAAATCATTTTAATTTTTCCTGTTTTACTTAATTTTATAATAAAATTAAATTTTTTATTCTTATTAAATGTAATTGAATTTACGCCTGTTATCTCAGAGCACAAAAATGTTTTTTTTTTTTTTTAATTTTATATCTCATAAAAAAACTAAAGAAGGAAAATTAAAAAAAAAACTAAGTGGTCTGTTTTGCTTTCATATTTTTCATTTTATTTTAATTTTATTCATTAATTTTTTATTCTTCATTCAATTGACAATTGGATTTGTTGGAGGTCTATGAAATTTTAATTTCTAACCTGAAATGGAATTTGGTTAAAAAAAAACTTTCACTTTTTGACAGTAATGAAAAAAAATGATCCAACTTAAAAAAAAGCAAAAAAAAACAGAACAGTGGTAAAAGATAAACTGCATTACTTTGTGTTTTTTATGTTGCAATCAAAATTTCAAGTTAATTCAATTTTTGTTTTTGATATACAGATACTGTTTTATTAAAATTATGATTTATTGGTATTACAAATGCAAAACAATGACAATAACACATTTGATGTTTTTCAATTATTACTTCAGTTATGAAAATCCTCTTATTTTCTAAAGTCTAAAACAGTGCCATGTAATAAAATAAATTGTAGGAAGCACTCCTTTTGTTTATTTATCTATGTACAAATTAACTAGGAAAATCCTTTCATTAATTTTATTCAAAGATACCATTAGAAAAAACAAAAAACTTTGTTGACAGCATAAGCTCTGTACGAAATAAAAACAATGTAAGAACGATGTTTTGAGAATTGTAATTAATTGCCTAAAGTACCTCCAAAAATTTGATAAAAAATGAGCATAATGAAAAAAAATGACTCAAACTTAAAAACAGTTTTATCATCAATTTTTTTTTTTTTTTTTTGTTATTATGAGAAAAGACCAAGAGATTTTTTTTTTTACTTACTACATTTAGGTACCTCTGAAAATTTTCTAAAAATTAGCATACAACGACGAGATTCCTCAACAAAACAAAAAGCTTTATCGTAAAAATATTTATTATTAAGAGAAAAGACCAAAATACTTTTAAAAATATTTTAATCCTTTTTAGCACTTTAAAAATTTTGGTTTTAAAAGAAAAAGAGAAATCTTTTTTTTTTTTTTCTTTTTTTGCATCAGCTCAAGGGCCAAAGACTAGGGATTAAAAACACCTTGTTTTGAAAATTCTTGCAAAAATCAAATTGTCGGATTTTAATGAAATTTTCAGGACTTGTTCACAAATGAATCAATCTTTTTTAACATATTAATATAGTTTTACTTTTTACATCTGTTACTGCTAATTAAATTTTATGAAATTCCGAGAAATTCAAATTTCAGAGTTATAAGCAAGACTTCTTGAATTTAAATCCTCAATTTGTTTTTATCAAACTCAAACAGAAGCACTATTTACCAAAAATCTGCTCTGAATTGTAAAATAAAAAAAATGAAATAAAACTGACATTAGACTAGAAAAACTTTTAATTGCTTTTAAGGACACTATTGTCTTGAAAAACATTTTTTCAATGAATAATGAATTTTTACAAGAATTATTTTCATGTTTTTTCATTTCTTTTAAAATTCTGTATTGATTTTAGCCTTTTAGATTGTATTATTATTAAGTGAAAACTATATTTACTAATTATAAATGGAAAGACGTAATACAAATCATTAAACACCAATATCTTTTTAAAAGAACTTAGAATTTTTTGTAAGTACAGGTGACCATACATCAGAAAATAAGAGCGATAACTATAATAAATTTAAAGCCAACATTTTTAAAATTTAGTAAAACATTAGATTTCAGAGAATATTTTTCTAAATTTTTAAGATTACTGAGTACTTAAAAATTATATAAAAAAGAAAAAGGTGCTCACATTATTTTCTTCAATTATGTTTTACAGATAAAATCTCCGTAGAACAACATTAGATCTGTCATCAGGCTGTCAACACATCAAAAAAGCTACTCTCTGGATAAAAACACAGCTTTTGTCTTGTTAAAAAATGCATTTCTACAATATTTTAAATTTAAAGTAAATATTTGTTTCAAATCAGAGTAATTATACTTTAAATCAGCTAATATTCTTCAAATAAATTTTCAGAAAAGTACATTTTTGAAAGATTTTTTTAATAAAATCTATGAAAAATGACTAAAAAAAATGGGGGCACTAATCAGCTATTGTAGCAAAAAAAAAAAAAACTCCTTTGTCAAATTAAATTAGTTTTTGAAGTACTTTGCTTATTGAAAATATTAAATTTAATCCATTAACTGGAAATTAAAACTAAAATAAAAGCTTCAAGAAACGTTTTTTCTTTTTTTAAATTCATTTCAAACCTTTGGTATTTTTTGTGGAGGTCCCTAGTTGCATTATGTATTTTTTTAATCCTTTTTAGAATCTTCGAAATTTTGGTTAAAAAAGCTTTCTTGCATTGGTGGGTGACCATAAATTAGTATGGGAAATTTTAGTGTTGTTTTGTTTTGTTGTTTTTTTTTTTTGTGTGGTGAAAAACTCATTGATTTGGAAATAATTGAAAAAGTCAAATAATTGTATTTTATTTTATTGAAACATTCAGGACCTTCACAAATGAATGAAATTATTTTAGAAAAATGTTTTTTGTTTTGTTTTTTTCAAGAAAATCTTTGTAAAAATCTTAACATCTGTTACAATCACTGCAAGTTCACAAATTTAAATCTTTTTTTTTTTTTCCTTATAAAAGAGAACCCCCAGTTACAGAATATTTGCTCTGAATCGTAAAATAAAATTGAAATAAAACCAAAAGTTTTTAATTGTTTTTATGTATATATTATAGATACTATTGGCTTAAGAAAAAAAATTTAAATTAGAATAATTTATAAAGTTTTAAATCTTAAAATTCTGTATTAATTTGTAGCAGTTAGGAAATATTAAGTAAAACCTATATTTACTAATCATAATTGGAAAAGCTTAGTACAATCCCCCCCCCAGTATTTTAAAAAGAATTTTGAATTTTCTTTGTATATAAACACGTTGATTTTTGTAAATA